TATAGGGGCGCTCTTGCGAGATCGAGCATAACTGCCACTGGGCCCCTGCCACAGCCGTTACCTGCCAGGGCTGCGCAGGTGGCCGTTGTGACGTACTCCTCGCCCGGGTGAGTGACACGTCTCCAAAGTGACAGGCACGCCTCTGCCTACTGAGAGACGTGGGTGCAGACTATCGAAAGGACAGGGGCTACGTCGTCAGTAAGGGACGTGGCGCAGTCTGACTGGTACGTCCTGTTAAATAGAAGCTTCCTGAGGAATGCTCGTGCGGCCCATTCGCGAGCTACTTTGCAGCGAGCTTGGAATACTTCAGGAGTACCGTTAGTAGAATTGGTCCTCGGGATGACTTGTCTATTTGGGAGCTCGGGCGAGCTGGTTTCCTTAGCTCGCAAGTTAAAGTTGCCTCGGAATATCCCTTTAGAGGTAGCTCAGGGAACCCAGAGCTCGCGTTGTGGTGAGCTCCTCCTTTTGCGCGCTACGATGTAGCGAGCTGCTTTATGGGCCCGTTACTTAGTTGTACTGGACTGCAATGCTGAGTTGTCGCTTACGCTGAGTTAGTGTCCACGTGTCGCCGTTTCATAGGTTGGGTCAAATCATCCTTCATCATTATGAATTATTAATATTAAGTATTAATTACTAATTATTGTTAATTATTAATATTAAGTAATAATTAATTACCATTAATTATTATTAATTAATTAATAATAATAGTTAATTAATTATTCGTAATAAATATTAATTATTAATAATAAGTATTAATTAGTCATAAAATAATTAATTATTAATAAATAATTAATGAATAATTCATTAATTTATTATTAATTAATTACTATTAATAATTATTAATAATTAATATTAGATAATATTTATTATAATAATTTTTAATATTGTTTCTTTATTAAATTATATATATAAATAAAAATTCTCTTATATGGGGTTATATTGGACATTTGACATTTTTCAGAATTCAAAACAATATTCTCTGCATTCAGAGTTAAAACAAAGAAAAGTTCACCAATAACAATATACCTCTTAATGTAATTATTACACTTTCATATATCAAACGTAAGAGCAAACGAACAAGCCCTTAGTCTTAGGCTCTCAACCCCTCACCAAACCCTATCCACCCCTAGTGGTCGTAGTAGAGGACCTCCCTCCCATAGAAGTGGTTGTGGGTCCCGTGTAGATTGCATGATAAAATGGATGTTAGTGAAGATTCTTGTTTTGGTGGACTATGACGTAATGTTGATTGTCACAAAAACGTGGCCGCAAGTTGGGCCGGGTTAGATGGGTTAATGTCAACCCTAACCCAACCCGAGTTTGAGAAAAATAATATTTTTGTTTCTTAAGTTTGCTATGAGTTGGCTCATTTACGCACTTATTCCCACCAACACATGTTTTTTTTTAAATATTTTACCTTCCACTTGCCCTTACAACATAGGGCCCTCTTCGCTAGTCATACTCTGATGTGGATGCCGACTCTCTTTTTTCTTTTTAATTTTGTGTTAGCAACTAGTAGTAACAGTTGTTGGGTTTTCTCCTTCCCCCACACCGTAGGGTCGAAACTCACCACTACTTCCAAATGTTAACAAAATGGGTCACCTCTGACGATGCCGACGCTGAAAAATAACGGCTCAGATACGTACGTGTAAGAGGCTGCTGGTGATGCAATAAATAGTCCAGCGCTGGCTGAGCCCTAAATGAAATGAACTAAACTGAAAAGGGCATTTTCGATCATAAATGGGCATTTTAGGAATTTTAGACAAAATTATTAGTCACCTGGTGTCACATGCAAACAGTTTATGATAGTCGACTGAGGGTAAAGGAAGTGTATGATAATTGTCAAAAAAACTTAGGGATAATTTAAGACAATATATAAATAGTAAAGGTATAGTCAGTCAATTTCGCAAACAGTAGTTTGAGGAAATTGACCTTAAAAAATTCAATTGAAGTAAATATATATCATTGAAAGAAAAATAAGAAAAAAAACTTGTTCAGATCTTTCTCCCTTTCGATCTCTACTGGTTTTTCATTTTGTACAGATAGATCAACCTAATTCATGGCTTCCGATCTCGAAGGTCAGTTCTTTTTTTTTTTTTCTTTTATTATTTACCAAATCACTCACTTGTTTGGTTTAATGTCTGGGTTGATTACAATAACATCTGTTTCTGTATCTCTGCGCATGAATTGCAGGATTAGTTATTGTGATCATGCGCGTTTGTGGGTCTGGAAAATCGTAAGCCCCTTCAATCTCTCTCTCTCTCTCATATCTAAACTGTTGTTTGGATTGTATTCCTAGTAGTACAACAGGAGAGATGCTGGGCAAGGCCATGAATTGTGTCTTTATCGATGCAGATGACTTCCATCCACAGTCAAATAAAGGTATCTGTCTCTTCGTGAATTCTGAACCCATTAAGATCTAAGCTCTCTTTGTCTGCAACTTCTGATAATACTTTGTCTGGGATGAGTGGGCTACAGAGAAGATGAGCAAGGGGATACCATTATCAGAGGAAGACCGGATTCCATGGCTCGAAAAGCTGAGCGATACTCTCAGAATTAACATAACCAGAGGCAAAACTGCAATTCTCGCGTGTTCTGCCCTTAGAAAGAAATACAGGGAAATCCTCAGAATGGCTGACCCAGATTATCAAGTGGGGAGCTACTCTTGCTGTGTGAAGTTTGTTTTGTTGGATGCTCCGGCCGAGGTGATAGCAGCTCGGATCAACAGAAGGGCCATGGAAGGGAAACATTACATGCCTGCTTCACTCTTGCAATCTCAACTGGACTTGCTTGAAATTGATGCTAGTGAAGGGATAATTAAGGTGGATGCTACTCTGAGTCCTGATGTAACTGTGAACAATATACGAGCTCTAGCATCCAAAAGTTATATTTGATCTCCTAATCTTATAATTTTCAATGGAGACGGTGCAGATTTTTATGTTTACTCTGTTTGGGCAGCTAGAATTCATATTAATACCATTATTGCATGTTATCTAATCTAACAGGGTTTCAGTGATTACATTCAATTCCAAATTCACTGCGAATCCTTCACCAGCTAATTGAATAATTAAGCTAAAAAAAATCATTAGTTTACTTCCTGTAATCAATAGCAAGTAGATCACTAATCAACAAATGATCAATGACCCAACATGGGCATTCAGAAGCTTGCTCTATGACTAGGGTTTGGTGTGAATACTAATTATGGATTAGATTGGATATTGTGAGGATATCCTGTAATCAATAGCAAGTCCTCCAATGAGTTCTCTACCTTGCTTCCTCCTGATATTCTTCTTTCTTATTCGGGTGTAAATTGAACATTATAATGTTCTTGTACATTTAACAAATTGAAGGAAGGCCAATTATCTCATTCAGGCAGGTACTTGCTGAATAATGTCTACCTTGTTGGTCAAATAAATTCAATTGGTAGAGCCATTGGCTCAATGAGATTTATTTTCAATTCAATTACACACACTAAAATCTTATATTTGTGCTAAACCTACTTAAGTTATTTCATCTTGTTTTTTTTTTCCTTTTTTACTTGGAACTTTCCTACATGACCAGCCATATTTCTGCCATGTACAGCTTGATGTGGCTAATCTAATCCATCTTACCAAAAGTTCAAAGTGTCTGTGTCAAGTATCGTATTGATAAATTTAAGCCCCGTTTGCTTCATAGGAATAGGGGTCCGGAATTGGAATGGATTATTATGATTCTAACTGTTTAGTTGAGCGGAATCGGAATCCCATTTCCATTTCTACTGGAATGGCATTCCCCATTTGAAGGAATGGCCATTTTTGGGAATGAAATCTCATTCCTGTTAATTTTAATTTCCATTTTCATTCCTGTCTGAACCAAACAAACTATGGGAATAGACCATTCCGATTCCGATTCTGAAGGATTTAAATTCCGATTCTGACTGTAAACTAAATAAACCCTTAGATAGAGATATGGGTACATTTTGAAAATACACGGATATAGTGGAAAGATATGAATACATTAGAGAAACTCCCAAATCCCATAAATAATAACAATTGTAAGGTCTATTGGTTTGGTGACAATGATTAGTTCCAAAGGTCTGACGAAAGAGGAATAGGAAAATTTAGCAGCAGTAAGACCCATAAATAGGTTTTTTACTCTCTAACGGGCTGCTGGTGTGGTTGGTCTAATCATCTTCGGAGTTGGGAGGCTAGTCTAGTGTAAGACAGACGCTAAGTTAATCGTAAATTTCTTGTGGAAGTGCCATAGTAAGTAACCCGCCGTGCAAGGTTCTCACGTTGGTGAATGATGATTGCAAGCATATGCTCACCTGTTACCCTGAGTTTAAGGCCTCTTATGTCCCGAGGATATGGAATAAGGCTCCCCACAAGCTAGCCAAATTTGTTATAAATGCTAGGCATAATGGGCTTTGGAGTGTAATTGAGGTGGAGGCCTCTGTATCTAAATCACGATGAATGAATGAAAGCCTATTGGATATTTCCAAAAAAAAATTAAATTATTTTTGTATTTTTTTGAGAAAATGCATATTTCAAAACTAACTACATAAATACATGTTTTTGCATTTGGAATTCCAAAATACACATCAATTGTAGATGAATGATTTATCTTGTAATGATATAGTTCTGAAAATTTGGAAAAAAAATTGATCAAAAAATCCATAAAGCAACAATTTCGCCAAATAATGCATTGTATCTTTTTTGAAGGGCTACAAAACGGGGTAGCCCATAATCCCCTCCCCCCCCACCCCACCCCACCCCACCAACCTTGCAGGCAAGATTTGATAAGTCTCCACTACAACCAACAGGAAACCTTACCAACCAGCAGCTGGTTGGCACTTTGCATATGAGATTGATAAGGTATTTGCAACCGTGCCCAATCCACCCATGGATACAGATAAAATACACTTCGTATTGTATTAATATTTTTAATCTACATCATCTAACTAAGAGGGGCCCTTTACTTCTGGATTGGCCACATATGTAGATTAAAGCATAATTGCAGAAATGTGTCCTTGTAGGCAATTAGCCATGTGATCACTAATGTAGTACACTTCAGCCTTTATTCCAATCTTTGCTGTTTCATACATAATAACCTTTCTAGGACATTTTTCTCTTTTTAATGGAAAGCTTAAAAGGTCAGAAATACCCTCTATATATTATTCAATTAAGTAACTTAGTTGATTTACTAATTTTTAATTTTCCCAAAATTTTGAGTTTTTTTTTTTTAAATCCACATCATTTTTTGGAACACCAATCAAGAGAGAGAGAGAGATTTACCTTCCCCAACAAGTTTTGGGACACTTACAAAATAAAAGCCTCTCTCTCTCTAGATCTACACATCATTACATTCATGATTCATCCCCTAATCTCTCTTTCCTCCTTTTCTCTCTCTCTCTCTCATTAATTATCAATTTATCACTACTGTTAAAAGTGTAAATGAGGTTTAGATTTTGGATTTTTTTTGACTAAAATACCTTTTGTTACACTTGGTCTCCCTTTATTGTGAGGGCAAAAAATATAATTAAAACTACTACTTTTATAAAGTTCATTAAGCTATTATTTGGTTTGAAGGAAAAGACAGGGAAAGGAAGGGAAATGTAAGGAAGCATATACAAGGTTTGTAAAGGTTTCCCTACCTTTCCTTCCTTTCCCTACTTTTTCCTTCAAACTAAACACAACCTAAAACTATTCCCATTTCCTTTCATTAAATCTTATATTCGAGCCACATTAAATAAATGAGCTTCGTGGGCTTTTTTTACTATAACACCCCTATTTATGAACTTAGACCCTCTTTAACTATATGGAAAGATGTAATTTAGGCTCCGTTTGATTTTTGTCAAGTGTTGGCAACTTTCTCCCGAGGTGGGAAAGTTATTTATCCACCTAAGAGATGGGTATCTATTACCCGTAGGAAAAATAAGCTTTCTCTTGTCCCCACATAAATCTGAAAAAAGAACATGGGTTTTTTGGTCCATGGGAATCAAAATCCCATAGACCAACTTTCCCCCCTCAAAATCCAAGAAAAGAACACCCCCTTAAAGTATTATTACTTTCTAATTCATTAAATTCCCTCTCATTAAGGCATTAAATCCCATTTTCTTTCTTCTTAAAATATTTATTTGAAGTACTTTTGTTTCTCACCAATAAACTCTATAAATTAACAAGGTGTTTGGTTTTGTGGGCGTTTATTCAATAAACATTGCCACATAGGCGCCACTTCAACAGTTTCCCTCTCTTGCACTTCTGTACGCATCGAGAATGGCAAAAGTGGACTTTGGTTTTTGTGCACGCCTACCATTTGGGGAAGTTAGTTTTTAAAGCTTCTACAAACAGTCAAGTGTTTTTTCACCGTTACACTGATGTGGCACCTATTTGTCATAAACAGTTATAATTAGTACCTTTTTCAATTTTGCAAGCAAATAAAGTACAAATGTTGAATGAAAAAACATAAACAGAACCAAACACATACTAAATCTACATCTAATATTTTTAATAATGTAAAACCTATGTTCAAAACCAACATAAAAAATAATTAAATAAACCACTCTTTTGTTCAAAATCAATCATCTGCGTCAAATGGATCAACCAATGTTCTCATAGTTAAATAATAATAATTTAAAAATAAATATAAATAGTATAAAAATTATAAAGGCAAATCTCTAATACTAACTATTTATCATATCAAACAACAATAAGCATACTATGGTTGTGCAACACTTTCTATTGGAAGGGTATGAAACATCATGTCCAAGAGCTATCAAGTCTTGCAACAAGTATCAACGTGTTAGGACAAGCCAATTCACCTGGTCTGTTGCAATAATTTCCAATGCCCTCGCAAATATGGAGTGATATCTCCAAGGATTTCAATGGAAATGAAATACAAAATTTAAGACTTACCAAAAAATGAAACCACTTTTCTATTAAAGTGATGGATCAATGGTTCAATCTTTTAAGTCAAATGGATCAACCCATGATATCATAAATAAATAATACACATTTTAAAAAAGATAGACACAAAAATTTTGTAAAAAAAACATTTGGGTGCATCTCTAATATTATGTATAGATTATATTGTATAATTGAATCATGTCATCATAATTATATAATAAAAATTCAAAACTTAGATAGAAATAAAAAATATAGAAACCACAAAATTTTGTCTATAAAATTTGTGCACATTTATTATATTAAACAAAAATAAATATGATAAATAAGAAGTACTTTTTATTAACAATGAAAATGAAACATAAAATATAAATCTACCAACACACCATGCTTCAATTACTTATCATTTTCAAATGGTTCTAATAAGGATATTGGAATTATTAATGTTATTTGAAATTGCCACATGCACATTTACTAGTTCTTTTAATAAATCTATACACAAAAATCTCTCAACTCTTATAGTCAGTCCATTCCCTCCCTCCCTCTCCCCGTCTCTCTCTCTCTCTCTCTCTCTCTCTCTCTCTCTCTCTCTCTCCCTCCCTCCCTCTCTCTCTCTCTCTCTTAATTTTCTTAACATAATTCAATTAAGTAAATTAGTTAATTTATTAAATTTAACTTAGGGTAAAATATAAAAGCCTCCCCTTTATTTTCATTTTAACAAATACCTCCCCTGAACTTTTAAAAAAATTGGCAAAAACCTCCATTCTGTCACTGACCCAATGGAAAGCGTTAAATTAATGCATCATTTTTTTTTCAAATGCCCATTATACTCTTTTATAAATTATTTTACATACAATTTTACAAAAATAAGCTTATTTGAAACTTGACAAAACCTCCCTTTGATCTCTTTATTGTCTTTCAATCTCTCATCCCAAAACTCCATCAATTCAAAGAGAACTCTGTTTGAAACTCCATCGTCTGAAAAGGAGAGGAACCCTAATACTCCATCATCCAGCTTCTCACAATGGGACCCATGATGACCACACAGATTGCAAAACGCTTGCCGCATAAAAACCTGCCTAGGCCTAGCCTTTCATCTGTTTCATGGGCTCCGACGGCTCAATCCTAGATTTAATCAGTAGTTTTGTTGCTGTTGCAACAACAAACAGTGTTTTGATCTTCGAAAAACCCAAACTACCAGCTAAATCTACGGTTAGGGTTTGAGAGCATCATGTCCGGAGGACAGCTCAAGTTATATAAACCATTTATCCCATCTATTACCATAAATCATCAAAGGCTCGAAGCTCTCTTTTGGTTTAACATCGATAGTAGGATATCGAAAACTTACAAGTAGAAACAAGGAAGAAATAGACAAATATGTCAATACTAGGTGCAGAAAAGACTCTAAAATGGAAAAAAATTTCTAACGAGGATATTCATACAAAACATAAAGGCATCAAAGATGAGAAGAAGGATAAGGTTTCGAAGAACAACGTAGAGTAGAAAAAGAAGAAATGGTCTTGCATCGATAGTTGATGCTAGTTGATTGGTTGCATCTACTCGATTGGGTGGTTTCTACTCTTTCTCTATAATGCTATGTTGGTGTCTTTAATTTCCCTCAGTATGTGACTGAAGCCATTAACGGGACATTGCCCGATCCACCTAGCGTCAAATTGTAGGAAGAGGGTTTGACAGTGAAGCACTCGGTGGTGTTCGTTCTGGGAATTGTCACGGACGGACTTGAGCTTTGGGAAGAGCACTTGTGCGCTGATGGGTTGTTCAGAAAACGGCTTTGGGATGGTATATTTGGAGAAGTATACAAGAGGAATTTTTACTTAAACCATTGATTGATGGCAACTTTAACAATGTTTGATCATTGTGGTAGATGATGACATGGTTTTCAATTGTTAGCCAAGTTGTTCTAAGTAACGCAAAATGTTAGTGGTCACCAATTTTACCTTGCAATTTCCGGTTTGTATCCATTTTACCCTGTTTCCAATTAATTTGGGGTGCTCTCGTGTTACAAACCAGCTAATTACTTGTCAATTAAGAGGATAAAGAGATCCAAGAGAGGTTTGTGTTGAGTTTCAAATAAGGTCATTTTTGTAAAATTGTATATAAAATAATTTATAGAAGGATATAACGGGTATTTGAAAAAAATTGATGCTTCATCTATTGTTTTCCGTCTGGGTCACTGACGAAAGGGAGCTAGGTTTTTGTCATGTTTTTTAAAAGTTTAGGGGAAATATTTGTTAAAATGAAAATAAAAGGGAGGTTTTTATGATTGTCAGAAACTTTAGGGAAAGTTTTTATATGACTTGACATGCTAAATTAATTAATCAAGTTTAACAAAGCTAAACTTAATAAACACAAAATCACTCTTATAGAATGCCCTGTTGTATACCTAGCCTCTCCAACCCAATCGGGTTGAGGATGATGGAGACTACTCAAGGAAGGAATGAAGTCCTCGCCCTAACCTGATCCCAAATGTAAACTTTTAATTAAGACTAAAAGGAAAAAAAAAAGAATTTGGGGATTCAGGTATCTCCGACTGGGATCATGGATAGGGATAGAGAGTTACTTAGAAATTGGGAACAAGAATGGAGAGTATGGTCTCCACCTTGAACCCTACCACATTGACATATCTAAATTCTGATTAATTAGAAAACTATGTGTAATAATAGTAAAAAATTAATAACTAATAATATATGCGATCAATAGTTCAATACAAGAAGTTAGTCACAAAAAATATTACAAAAATAAGTATTAATAAATAATACTAAAATAAGTTAAACAAAAATGTATAAAATCTAATAAAAATTAAAATTCATTTAAATTCAAATTAAAATAATAAAATTTTACAACAATTTGTCTAACCATAATAAAATTTGGAATCAGTTTGTCTTTGCCCAATTAAAAATGTCATGGACCCGGCTAGTAGAATATATGGAAGATGTCAATAAGAAAGAAAACTCACTCCCAAAATTATAACCTTAGGGCATTTTTCTTATTTATCTCTTTTTTATGGAAACTCCAAAATGTCAAACATACCCTCCAGAATGCTAAGGGTGGGATGCTCCGGAATATATGGAAGATGCACTTGGATTTAACTGAAATGCAAGTGGTTTTTATCAGAATTTCCAGGGCATTTTTGTCAAATAGTTCCAACGGCTGTCTGGTTCTAAAATGAGCCGTGGCCGTTTAAAAATAAATTCAGAGGAAATGAGGCAGAGAACCCCACCATTCAGAAAGTCTCACCATTCGCTCTGGAAAGGCTCTAAGAACGCTCTCAAGACGCTCAACGATTTCGAAATCCTTCAATCATCTCTCTCCCTCTGTTCTCTATTATACTGTTTTTATTTTTTTCTTTCTTGTTTTCTATAATCTGGTTCTGTATTTTGCAGGGCCCGTTCTTTGCCTTTTCTTATTCTCCGTCTTGCAGGTGATTTCCTTCTTTTCTTTTTCTTTTCTGGTTTTTCTTTTGCTTTTGCAACACAAATGGATGCAGGTTCTTTTATTTCTCCGAGCAAGTCTCAATCTAGAAATCCTCTTAAAGAGCAGATTCTTCAAAAGAGAAACTCGACTGAAAATGTATGTCGACCATTGAGATTTTTTTTTATGTCCATTTTGTTTGTTTTTTCTCTAATGAATCTTTTCATGCTCTAGTTTTCTTTTTATCTGGACTTCCTGTGGACCTTGGTTCCATGTAAACTATGGCTTTTCCACTTAACACATTATATTTTTTCCTTATGATCTTCTTTTGGTGACAATTTTCATCGGTGCTGATGGAGAATTCGCTATAACTCGACTTAACTCCATGCGATTATGGAAATCATTTGACGTTCATTTATTATCTGTAACTACTGTAATTCGACCTGGAGTCTGTGCGACTTACGGGAAATCTTTTGATACTCATTTGATGATATGATGTTCTGGGTTCTCAAGTTAGAACTCGTGTTCCCATGTCTCTGTTTTTTTCTCTATCCCTGAGGAACCAAGTGAAATGTGCCCATTTTCTTTTTGTTTGTTTTCTCTTTTTTATTGGGATGTTCTGATTGTTAGTTTTCTGGAATCCGCAGTTGGACAGGTTTATCCCTAATCGATCTGCAATAGACTTCGACTTCGCTCATTACATGCTGACAGAGGGAAGGAAGGGAAAAGAAAGCCCAGCTGCGAGTTCTCCGGCAAAAGAGGCTTACAGGAAGCAACTGGCAGAGATTTTCAACATGAACAGGACCAGGATTCTTGCTTTCAAGAACAAGCCACCCGCCCCAGTCGAGCTGATGCCTCATGAAATGTCGTCCGCTCTTCACCAATCAAAACCCACCAAGCCTCGAAGACACATTCCCCAAGTGAGTTTTTCTCTCTCTAAGTTCTTTGATGCTTATCTTGCTTCATCTGTTTTTTATGCTTTAATTTTTCTTGGATTAGTGTTCACGGTTTCTTTTTCAACTGTTACAATTGTTTCTTCAATGCAGACCTCAGAGAAGACATTGGATGCCCCTGATATTTTGGACGATTTCTACTTGAATTTACTGGATTGGGGTAGCAACAACATTCTATCAATTGCTCTTGGCAACACCGTATATTTGTGGGATGCTACGGACGGATCTACTACTGAACTTATGACAATTGATGACGATAATGGTCCGGTTACAAGTGTTCGATGGGCTCCAGATGGACAACATATTTCCATTGGCCTGAACAATTCTGATGTTCAGCTTTGGGACACTACAGTTAATAGAAAGGTTGGCAATTTCTCCAACCTGTTCATTCTTCCGACTTTTCTTTCCTTTCTGCACTTAATAGTGATTTTCTCTGTAATTTGATTTGTTCTTGCAGCTGAGAACTCTACAAGGCGGACACCGATCTAGAGTGGGCTCACTGGACTGGAACAATCACATTCTGACAACCGGGGGAATGGATGGTCTGATCATCAACAATGATGTGAGAATAAGACCTCACATTGTTGAAACTTACAGAGGACACCAGAGAGAGGTCTGCGGGCTAAAATGGTCAGCCTCAGGCCAACAGCTAGCAAGTGGAGGAAATGATAATCTGCTCTACATATGGGACCGATCAGTGGCCTCTTCAAACTCTTCTACCCGGTGGCTACATAGACTTGAAGACCACACTGCTGCTGTGAAAGCGCTTGCCTGGTGTCCTTTTCAGGGTAATTTGCTTGCTTCCGGTGGAGGCGGAGGAGACCGATGCATAAAGTTCTGGAACACCCACACAGGTGCATGTCTGAACTCAGTGGACACCGGCTCACAGGTCTGTTCTTTGCTGTGGAACACAAATGAGCGTGAGCTGCTTAGCTCTCATGGGTTCACCCAGAATCAACTTACAGTTTGGAAGTACCCATCAATGGTGAAGATTGCGGAGCTTACTGGTCATACTTCAAGAGTACTATACATGGCTCAGGTATTATTGACTCGACAATCCTCTGCTGTTATAATTGGAAATGTAATGAAAATTTTCATTCTCTTTTTTTTCCTTTACCTTGATAATAATTCACTGCTGACCTTCTGTTCTTCCTGATTTCTTTCAGAGTCCAGATGGCTGTACAGTGGCATCAGCGGCAGCGGATGAAACATTGAGGTTTTGGAACGTTTTTGGGAGTCCTGAGGTGGCAAAGCCTGCACCTAAATCGAATCCTGAGCCATTTTCTAATGTCAGCTGCATCAGGTGATCATTTATTTGGTTAGGCAAATTTGTCATGGAGAGAAGATCAACTCAGAGCAAACATGATACTCAGGCAAATTTGTCATGGAGAGAAGTCAACTATGCACTTCATTCCTTAATTTTGACACAAAAAATATGTTCTCACAAAAGATTTTGCTAGTGTCTCCTCTGCTCTTTTATTCTTCTCAATTTACTGAAAAAAAAAAAAAAAAAAAACTTTTGAGTTGCAGGTTAGCCATCAACATGTCTCAAGATATGAATGAAAAGGCAATAGATATCGTTGCTGCTGTAAATCTGACTGAGGAAGGGCTTGTACAATAAATGCTGCCCATCGTACTTCTTTCTCACCTATTTATAAATAAAATCGTTTTTATCCATGGATGTTATCTCCGTCTTGGGGGTTTTAAGATGCACAAGTGTTTGATTCTGCAGTTTTTTTTTTTTTTTGCTCATTGCATGGATTTTTTTCGTTGTACTGAATTTGGTAAACAATGCAAGAAAAAGATACCTTTTTCCCCACAATCTACCTTTCTTGCAACAAAATATTAGACTTCTTCCATCTCGGTGAAAACCAAACAATTTTTTTTTTCGGGATTTCACATATTGAATGATCAAACCAATCTAACGTATGGCAAGAGAGAATATTCAATCATTGACCACTGCTGATATTTGCAGAGGAAGCAGTGTTTCTGTAACAGAATCCTGACTAAGATCATGTTTACCCATGAGTGTGCATTTCCTCGTGAACAAGTTCAATGGGGAGAGTAGGATCCAACTAGTAGTATCTTTATATTAAACAACTTCTAAAGCCTGTTAAACCAATTTTGAATTCTTTGCTTACAAATGTAAAAGCTATTCTCAAATGACAGGCATGATCAGAGGGAACTTATCTTGTATCTTTATATTAATTATCCATCAAGTCGATAACAATGCAATGTGTATAAGAATAGAAGTACAGGTCACAAGAAGAAATAATACAAAGGAAAATACAGTAGTATTTCTTGCATCTCAGAACCCTACTACAAGAAAAGCAATTAAAGTCAAAAGAACCTGTTGAGAGGAGCCCTCAAAGTGATGCATGAATAGAGACTTCTATACAGATCCAACAAAGAAGACTCCCAATTGCAAAATTTTCCTAAAGGTTCTCAGTGATGGAACGTTTAATTAGACATCAGGGAAGTTGCCGCCTATTATATGTGTCTTCATGTACAAAAACTGGTTCTTGCATTGTCTGAGGTGGAAACTGAGGTTGTCCCATGGCAATGCCTCCTTGATTAGGATTGGAAACACCTCCCCATGGTTCAGCCCTGCTCTTTCCTGACAATAAGGTGAGATAATAAAGCAAACCAAGGGTAACACTTGCTAGTGACAAGATGGCACCTCCTGCAAAGACCCCAGGCTTCACCACATAGCAATAGCTGCCAAAGTACATGCTCTCTTCACCATGTTGATCATTCAGAGTAGCCCCCGTTAGCAACAGGAGAAATGCTATAACAAATGTGAACCTGAATGATGATAACATACTTGCATGCATCAATTCATCTGAAAATGATCTTTCAAAGGTAAAATACATATTATTTTACCAATTACTATAATTCGCATTTTAGTGTTATGACCATTTTCTGTTATACAAATTACAAAATAGCATACAAGACCCAAGGCCTACAGACACAATGAAATCAAAATTAATAAATATATGCACACATACATGCACAGGCACAAGACACATGAAAGTTGGCTTGGCCAATCCATGCCATGTGCTGCGCATTCAAAACAACCTGGAAAGTAAAAACTGAGGTGGTATCATTTTGTGTTCTGTGATCTTATAGCAGAAGATGGTACTATTATGCTGGAACTAGAGATCTCTCGATGCCATGAAGATAGGGTTCCAGTAATGCCAGATCCCATGATTGTCAAACTGCGATAAGTATCAACCCAAAATGTTGAATCCTTGAAAGCAAGTCAAGTTGCAGTTCCAATATCTTCATTCTTTCAAAGTATGGACTTGACCATTAACTCACAATGGAGCCTAAAAATGTCAGAGTCTTGGGCCAAGCCTTTGATGCTACAAGTCCATTTGGATGAGATGCTATGTGCAGAGAAGAGAAGATAACATGAACTAGAAGGTTACTTCAGAAGAATAACATCAAAGGCAGCCAAATGTTAATTCAAATAATGTACCAGGAAACAACAAAGCAAACCAAAGCCAATGACCAGTTGGAATTTGAATTAGGTAAAGTCTTTCTACAACAAATGCACCCAGCTGCAACGTTAATAATAACTTGTGCAACCAAAAGGGATATGGATGCAGTCATTCCAAGAGCCATAGCTGGGCTCCTTGGGTACACACACACAGAAGGAGAAGTAAATTGAACCTGAGAGCCCTGCAAAATTTAGAAAAACAAAAGTCTCAGCCAGACTAAAATAGTAAATAAGGTCTGTAACACAACTATCTACCATACATTCATACAATTGGCAAATATGCAGTTTGTCTTGGCATCATATATGCCTGGTTAACTGTGGCTTGTGGACACTTATTGTTGTGACTTTCATTGTGTTCCATTTTTTTCCAGGAGTGAAGAAACAAGATTTTTTTTTTTTTTTGCAGCATAATCAATTCTTTCAGACAACTCAACTCATCTAATCCTTGTCCCAACTATGTGGAATCAATCAACTACATGAATCCTGTTCAGCCATTCCATTAGTTTCAGTGCCATATCCATTTTTAAATTATGGGCCCTCGAGTCATTTCTCACTACTTCAATCGTCCTTTTTGGCTTACCCATATCTCTTCTAGACCCTTCAACTTATAAGTTGCAACAGATCATTTCTCATGGATGTAATAGGTGGTCTTTTCTATAGGTGACCAAACCATCTTAGTCTACTGTCTCTCATTTTATCACCCATTGGGGCTACTCCTAGATTCCTACAAATATGTTCATTTCTATTCCTATCCTTTCTAGCTTTTCCGCTCATCCATCTCAAAATTTGCAATTCTTCTATACTCATTTTTTGGATGGGCTGTTTCTTGATTGTCCAACACACTGCTCCATATAACACTGCTGGCCTTATAACCATTTTATAGAATTTCCCTTTATCCTAAATGGTATTCTCTTATCATATAGAACTCCAGATGCACCCCTCTGATTCACCCATCTGTATTCTATGAGCTACACCCTCCTCAATCCCTCCTTTTTTTATTGAGAATCAACTAAGGTAATGGAAAAGGTCTTATTGAGATCTCTCTTGGTCTCCAATCTTAGGCGTACCCTTATTATCACTCCTATTATTAAATTTATATTGCATATATTCTGTTTTAATCCTACTTATTTTAAAACCTCTTGTTTCTAAGGCATCTGTCCACAAATCTAACTTTTTTTGCACTTAATTCTTCTCTAGCTTCATTAGTTAATATTATGCCATCAGAAAACAACATACACCATGGGACTTCCCCTTAACATGCTTAGTCAATTCATCCATGACTAATGTAAACAAGGGCTAGGTTTTGAGCTTTGGCGAAGTCTCATTGGCAAAATCTCAAACGTCACTGACATTGGTATTTGGTAGTCTTCTGTTCCAAAACTCACCACATTATCTTTCTTAGGAGTATCAAATACTTTTGTCAAATTAAATAATATCATGTGAATGCTCTTTTTTATCAATGTGAAGATATCTCTTTTTCTCCCTAAATTTTTCTATTAATAGTCTCAGTAAAAAAATAGCTTGCATGGTTAAACTCCTTGGCATAAAATCAAATTGTTTTTCTGATATACTTGTTTTATGTTGTAACCTTTACCCAACCACCCTTTCAAAATTTCATGGTATGGCTCATAAAATTAACCCCATGATAATTATTGCAATTTTGCATTCACCCTGTTTTAAATAATAGGCACTGTGGTGCTCTTTCTCCATTCATCTGCCATTTTCTTTCTTATTAATATTTTATTAAATAGTTTACTAAGCTATAATAGACTACCTCACGTATATTATTCCTCCTTTCAATCTGTTGGGTAATTTTTGAGAGAAAGAAATAGAAAGAAATATGAAGAAAAGAATTCAGATGACAGAATATTATATAAACTTGGAAGGGTCTGGTAGTAAGGGCTCTCCCTAGACCTACTTCAGACAATTGTCCAATCAGGTTATCCCAAGAAAACTTAGTAGGGGGACCTTGTCGATTCCGGTTTGAGAACACGTGGTGTCTTCACCCTGATTTTATAAAAAAGGTTCAATTGTGGTGGGAAGAAGACCAATTGGAATTCGGGTGGAAAGGTTAAAAGTTTTATAAAAAGCTACAAGCTCTGAAAGCTAAGATCAAAGCTTGGAATAAGTAGGAATTTGAGAGAGTGGAAGAAAAAGGAGTGAATTGCCAATAGGATTCAAGAAATTGATGTAGGTGAGGCAGAGAGAAGAATGACAGTAGGAGAGAGGGAAGAACGTTGGAAGTTGAAACAAGAATTGGACGAACTCATTAGGAAAGAGGAGATAAGTTGGAGACAAAAATCTAGGTGTAAGTGGTTGAAGGAGGGAGATGGGAATACTAAATTTTTTCACACCCTTGCAAATGGAAGACATAGGAAGAATAATGTGGGGAGACTGGAATGGAATGGGGAAGTGATTACAAGTGAGGAAGAGATAGCAAGAGCCTTTGTAGAGCACTTCAAAACCATTTATGACAGCCCAAGAAGAGAGAGAGAAGAACTTCCTAACCTTGAGAAACATCCAAGTTATAGAGGATTGATGGATGAGTTAGAAAGGAGTTTTGAGGTCTAAGAAGTGAAAAATGCTGTTTTTTTCAATGGAAAGATCTAAATCCCCAAGCCCAGATGGATTCACGATGGCCTTTTATCAAGATTATTGGGATATTATAGGTGGTGACTTAATGGAGGTCTTCTCAAAATTCTTTGAGAGAGGTAAGATAAATTCGGGTGCCAATGCTACTTTAGCTTTGATTCCTAAAAAGGTAAATGCAAGTCACCCAAAGGATTTTAGGCCCATAAGCTTAATTGGTAGTATGTATAAGGTAATATCAAAGGATTTAGCAGAAAGAATCAAAAAGGTACTACCATCCTTGATTTCTCCGAACCAAGGGGCATTTGTGTCAGGAAGACAAATTATTGATCAGATCCTTATTGCCAATGAGTGTGTGGATTACAAAAACAGACAAGGAGAAAAGGGGCTGATTTGCAAATTGGACTTTTGGAGAAGGCCTATGATTTGGTGGATTGGGGATTTTTATTGGAAGTTTGAGGACTAGAGGTTTTGGAGAGAGGTGGTGCAAATGATTCAAGGTTTGTTTTCTTCATGCCATTATTCCATTCTAGTTAATGGGGTAGCTAAGGATTTCTTCCCTGCAAAGAGAGGATTAAGACAAGGGGATCCTCTCTCTCCTTTCCTTTTCACCATAATAGTTGATGTTTTGAGTGTCCAGATTACTAGAGCTGATGCTAGACACCTGTTTAGAGGGTGGAGAGTAGGAAGGGAGGAAATAATTGTTACCCACCTTCAATTTTCTAATGACTTGATTCTTTTCTGTGAAGGAGATCCAGACGAGTTAGAAAACCTAAAGGTGTTGGTAGAGAATTTTGAAAAGGTCTCCAATTTGAGAGTAAATTGGAATATAAGTTGTGTAGCTGGAGTTAACAGGCAAGAGGTAGAGGTGGCTTCTTTGGCTAGACCTCTAGGTTGTGAGGTAAGTGATTGGTCTCTAAAGTATCTAGGCTTACCTTTGGGAGGAAATCCGAGGTTAGAAAGCTTTTGGTACACAGTTTTGGAAAGATTCCCAAAGAGACTAGCGGGATGGAAAAGGAACTACATCTCATTAGGGGGTAGAATCACTCTAATTAAATCCACACTAGCAAATTTGCTAGTATATTTTTTGTCTACCTTCAAAATGCCTGTTAATATTGTAGACCAAATTGAAAAAATAATGAGAGCTTTTCTGTGGGAACTTGGTGATTCTAAAAAGGATCATAGGGTAAAGTGGGAAGTGGTGTCTAGAAAGAAAGACAATGGGGGCTTAGGGATCGGAAATATCAAATTAAGAAACCCAACATTGTTAGGCAAGTGGTTATGAAGATTTCCTAAGGAGCAAGGAAGTTTATGGCACAAGGTGATAAGAAGTATTCATGGATTGGCAACAAATGGATAGGATGTTGGAATCGACCCTAGGGCTTCACGCTTTTTCCCGTGGAAAGACATTGCCAGTATCTTGCCCATCTTCTCTCCTTTCATCAAGTATGATGCTTGCTTGGGTAATAAGGTTCTTTTTTGGGAGGATTTGTGGCTTGGTGAATCTCCCCTTAAGGATAGATTCCCAAACTCATATTCCCTTTCTTTGAAAAAATTTCAAGTTATTTCTTCTTTTCATGTTTCTGGGGATTCTTGGGATCTAGGTCTAAGGAGAGGTTTGAGGGATTTAGAAGTCAGTTTGGCAAATGATCTTTTCTCTCTTCTAAGCTTAGCTTTTCTAGACCAGTCTTATCTTGATAGTAGAATTTGGATTGAATCTTCTTCAGGTTGCTTTTCATGTTCTTCCTTTTTCAATGCTTTGGTGCTCCCTTCTAACTCGGTTACCTCCTTTCCTGTTAAAGAAGTTTGGATGCTCTGGTACCTCCAAAGGTAAGGGATTTTTGTTGGGAAGTGGTTCTCCAAAAAATTAATACCTTGGAAGTGCTTCAAAGAAAAAGACCAAATTGGTACTTGTCCCCACACGTTTGTAGTCTTTGCTTGAGGAATAGTGAGACAATGAATCACCTATTATTTTCTTGCCCTTTTAGTACTCTTATATAGGATTGGTTCTCCTCTCTCTTTGGCTGTAGGTGGACTCCCTCCTCAAGTGTAGTTGATTTATTTGACCCTAGCTTTTCTGACAACCAAAAAAGAAGGGAAGGGTGATGTGGAGAACGAGGGCATCTATCTTGTGGGCAATGTGGGAAGAGATAAACAACAGGATTTTCCAAGGGAAAGAAAAATCAGCGCCTGAACTCATAAAAGGGATCACTGTCAAGACAGTACATTGGTTGAAAACTCTCGACCTATTCAAGGATGTCTCTGTAGACGACTTGATTAGAGGCTGGAGTATTATAGCAAGCTCTTCTTCTTCATCACCTACCATACAAGCAGTTTGGTCCCCTCTGGTGCAATATAATGTAAAGCTAAACTCTGATGGCAGCTCTGTGGGGAACCCTGGACCTTCTGGAATAGGGGGTGCGTTTAGAGATGAGACAGGAAAAATCTTGGCTATGTATTCTGGTCCAATAGGTCTGGGGGACTCGCTTAGAGATGAAGTGTTGGCCCTCCTCCAGGGGTTCAAATTGGCTAAGCAATTGGGCTTTCAACAGCTAGAAGTGGAAGGGAACTCAAAATTAGTAGTAGGCTGGCTGCAGTCTAACAGCTTGGGAACTTGGTCCCTTAGACAACCTGTAAGGGAATTGTTGAGAGTTAAAAGAGAGATGGATGCTCAAGTTGTTAGGACTAGGAGGTCAGCAAATGCTTTAGCTGACATCCTAGCAAAGCAAGGGGTGAATTGAGAGTTTTTGTTTTGGGAAGTTTTGTAATTTGAATTATGTTCATGGGTCACCTTACACTTTGGTAGGTGACGGTTGTATTTTTTATTTTTTAGTTAATGAAAGTTACCGTTACATATAAAAAAAAAGAATATTATATAAACTGATTTTCGACTGGTTCATGGTTCATTTAGAATTTGAATATGTAAATTGATCCTTTTTTCACATGGATTTTGTCCAATATCGGCACTGTAGTAGATGTTTAGGTGGTTGTTTTGGTATGGTTTTCTATTTTTAAGGAATTTGTTGCTAGGGTGTTATCTAAATATCCACTCTTTGTAATTTCCTTTTGTTTCATTAATAAAATTTCCTTTTATTTTATCTATATTATATTGTATTAATTCCTCGCTAGGCACTAATGATTCGTAAGTTATGGTATGACCTTAATACCTAATGTCTTTACTTCAATATTGTATTCATTGGGTTGAAATGACCTTTGGTACCTACAATGTGTACAGCCACGTGTCATACATTTCAACTTTTAGTGAAAATTCTGAGTTTGACACCTTCCCAACCATTTCCTTGTTGAATCTGGATATCATAGATAGGGAGTGGCAATATGTTAGGCCAGACTCGGCACAGGATAGGGTGTAAGGGTATTGGTCTGGGATGACCAACAAAGCTTGGATGCTCCTGGCTGGGCAAACATATTCTTTAAATGTTAACTTGCAGGTTTTCATCTTATTATTTACATATTTTGTATCATCTTTATGAAATATTTTGAAGTTAAGATGATAAATGAAAAGACAAAGATACCCTGCTTTTTATTTAATGTATATTTGATATAAGGGAATTTAATGTAAACAAAAGTTGGGGAGAAAGCTATAAATTCCCCTTTTTTGAATATATTTGATCTCAAGATTCTCTATGTTGATATTTACAAATTTTAAATCTTTATGGAGGAAGACCATAATATATAAGACAAAATGCAGTGGGTATGTGTCAAATCTGAGTCATTTAGTTGAAACAGCATCCAAGAATACTTTTAAGTCATTGTACTATTGGTATTCTATAATTTTTTAGTGAACTACAAATACATGAGTAGGCAAGGCAAGGGTTTGATATCCCTGGTGCAGTCCACCAGGCATGGACTTGGTATAAAAATCTGAGCCCAGCATAGTCCTAACTCCAAGCTAGCCTGTTACCACCACTAAAATCTATTCATAGGATAGAATCCAGAAAGTGGAAAGGTGCCTGTGTACATAAGAAAGTTATATAGCTTCTTTTACACTTTCATTTCAGTTAAAATTTACCGTAAGAGAAATCATCATTACTGATAAAAAATTATAGTAACTTGCACATTGTTTACTTAATTTTGTCAATTACTATTGTTGTTCCACATGCTTACAAGAATAGAAAACTTGCAAGATACTGAATTGTTCATTTTATCTTGATTTCATAGGTTATGAGAATAAAAGAAAACAAAATCTTTCTGAAAGAATGAAAGAGATAGGAAGAGTTACTGATAAACTTACGATGTTACTGTTTAACCAGTTAGCATGGAGATTGAGTCCAGTTCCATTTTCAGTTTTTTGGGAGGCTTTGTTAGAAAGAGAAAATGATAACATCAAAGGAAAAAAGGACACAAGAAGTATGTTGGGTAAGTAGTGTATCCAGAATCCAAAAATTCCAATAGATCATCTTTTGGTGATGGCTTCTGGTTGGCTATGGACCTAACAGAACAGGATACATAATCTTGCATATTTTGCATTTTTGTACAATCTGTATTTAAGAAATCTCTCTTTTATGCAAACAAGGAGGTGATATTTACATTAAAATGCAATTTTTTCTCATTTTAGCAGTTTTCATCCTTTTGTGCCATACCTCTGAATGTCCTCATACTTTGTTGCACCTCATAAGTCTGAACTATCGTTTATCCAACAAAATTTTACCTAAAAACTCCATCTATATACCCTAGATTCTAGAACTTTTCTATTTTCTTCACACAGACTTACTCTACCATTCCTAACCTACCCAATCTCTATTTTTCATCCAAAAATCATTCCTAAACCATATTTTAACTGATTAATGCCTTCCTATACTCAAGTTTAGATAATATAATGTCACTCTATATCAATTTGGTATTAGAATTATCAACCTTTGTCATTAGGAATTCAATTCTAGCTCCACTATTGCCCTTCCCCAGTGAAAATAAAAAGGACAAGGCATTTATTAGTGTGGGAACTCTCTTCAACATATGGTGGTAAAGTGTTCAAAGTAAAGTTAATTCCACACCAACACCACGACTTCTTCATGCCTTGTTGAATCGGCCTAACTTAAGGATACCAAGTTTCCACCATGATAGCAACAAACGTGCACAAACATATGATGCCTAGATGCAAACACGGATATGGAAAATGAGAATAGAAACATAGTTTCCATGGTGACACCTGGGCAGGCATCTAGAAGTATGGTTATTTTGGGATCACCTTGTGCTTCGCCTTGACATTTTTATATGGAATTCATGCCAAATTTTGGTATAGAAAAACTAGACCTTATAATTTGTAAAAGTAAAGGTGAAGGGGGTAAAAGGGCATCATGAAATACTATTTTCAATTTAAAAGAGCTATACAATTGGTTTAACGCAAGAAGATAAGTAGAATTATCAGGATAGTGATGAAAGATTAATATGGTAATAGGCTTTGGAATGATGTTCTATATAAAGATAGCATTATCATTATCATCTTTCTCTCATCCATCTCTAGCAGAATAGGGTCTTTGCCCCTCCATTTAGTACTTTTTTTTCTCTTTGCAACCACTCATGCCTATCTTCTTATTTTCCTAGGCAATAAAGAACTTCTCTGTTGCCTAGATTCTCCTTTTAGTGTCTTGACAATTATAGATACAACTCTCTATTTCCTAAGATCCCAGACATGGATATGGGCAATAGTATTCTATTTGACATGCTTAATTGCTTACATCATGTTTTTATATCTACTTTTATGAAGCTATATAACACTCTAAATGCTAGTATCCTGCCAAATTTAAGTAAACTTCTAACATCTACAGATTTTTGTAGTATGATGTGCTAACACATTTTAAAAGTGTTAACATTATAGATAATACTCCATAAGTGCCCATGCAATATCTGCTAAGCAAGTACAGGCATCCAGGTATCATAATCACCAAATCCTGGCATAGGATTCTAGCAACAAGTGCTTCATAACTTTACTGAAAATCACCCTAAACACCAATTTGATCTCAATGACGTCAAAGAGCAGAACTTGGGTTTAGAAACCACATTCCCGCCTACCATGATCAAGTCGGATAAAGCAAGAGAAGGCCCAATTGCTCGACAAGATCTAGCAAGCAATTATACTAGCCATAATAGACTTTTCTGAACATTAAATGAATATATAAGACATTAGAGAAAATGTTACATGAACAAGGAATCTGGGTAACAGAAGCATCTGCTCCTAGAGAAAGATGTACGAACGTTCTAGAAAGATGTTGATAGCTGAAATAGTTACATCACAAATATGAATAAAGCTCAGTAACCAGAAGAAATCATGGGGGAAATTCAACAGGGCAAAAAATAAGAAAGAAAGTAACCCTTTTTTCTTATAAATTCAAGGAAAATAGAAGTTAGAAAACAATAAAAGGAGGAGAAAATTATAAACAGAAGTACTAATCACTCTGATCTCTGTAAATCATTAAAAATATAAAGGAATCAAATCAATGTTCATATAACAAAGATAATACTCTAAACGCCACAATAGATCCCCATGAAGAAACCTTTCTGAGGATAGAAACTAATGGAACTTCCAGAACCAGATGAAAAAGCTCATTCTTTGTATCATACCTTTATCCTTTTGGCCTCTGCAGCAAAGCTCAAAGAAGCAGTTAAGAGCCCCAGAAAAACTACGGTAGCACAGACCAGCAAAACCTTTCTCTCCATCTCCTCCAAAACTCTGTCTGTGTTCCTCCCTGCGTGCTTTTGAAGTTGATGGTGCGGAGTTCAAGAAATGTAGCTGCAACGGAGAGCTCAAAGTTCAAACTTTTCTGACGGTGGATTAGGGAGGTAGGTAAAACTGAAAATATGATTAGAAAAGGGGGTCAGTTAATAATACATGAAAAGATTCCTCTTTTAAGGGCAATCTTTTAATGGGAACACTCCTATAATTTGCATTTAAGATTTATTTAAACTTACCCTGTATTTGCATTTTACTAAAACACTCTTATAATTTGCAATTTATTTACTTAATAGATTTTTCATTAAAAATTATTTATTTTCCCATATGAAAATAGTAACATGATCATCTAAAATAATTGAAAAATATTTAAGGGAATAGACTTGTGGTTGTTTATTCCAAAAGTATTTCTAAATTGATCATCAATGATTGTTTATTCTAAAAGTACTTATAATACTTTTCGTGTAGAAAATAAAATTGATCAAAAAGATAAAAATAAAGTGGTTGTCAATGTTTTATTTGGGGCAAAAATGGTATTTTTGTTTTTAATTTCTTTTGATTAAATTTGTTTGAATAGATATTATGGTTAAAATTGTCATTTTCTATTTTTATATAATGAAAGGCTGATTAAGTAAATTGATTGCAAACTGATGGTGCGCAATCCGGCTGGTCCTAGCTGTCAACGACCTTGCCTCTGAACGGAGCTACAGGGAGCCTGAAACAGAGAAGATGAGGAAGCTCCAGGGGGAACCCGGTATGACTGCTCCGAAGCTCAAGTTAGAATTCTTTCAAAGGCAAGATAAAACCAGA